GAAGGATGCGCCAACATTGTTTGGCCAATAAAGCTTGGTTAAAAGCACCGAAATCACGAAAACCAAGACCTCCCTCCAATTTAGGATGTCAAATTTTACGCCAAGACACCCATGGTAGATGCCGCTCCGAACCCTTTTGTCTCCACCAAAATCGAGCAATCATGCGATTAATACTGCGACATAGTTCTGTAGGAAAATGGAAGCATGACATAGCATAAACCGGAAGAGCAGACACGACGGACTTAATCAGCGTTTCTAGGTCAGCCAAAGAAAGACTACGACGCTTCCAACCCTGAAGTTTCTGTGCCACAGCCTCCTTAGTGTCCCGTTTAGAGCGACGAATAAGAGAAGCAAGGCCCAAATATCTATCATGAGCCCCAACGGCACCCACTCGAATTAAAGCGCCTAAAGCAGTCGCCTCTGAGTCCAAAGTGTTTTTCAAAAAGATCACGGCTGATTTGGATAAATTAACACGTTGGCCACTCATGCGCTCATAACGGCCGAGTAAATGAAGGAGAAATTGACAATCCCTAGCCGAAGCATGTAGAAAGAGAAAGGCATCATCAACAAAGAAAAGATGGGATAACACAGGGCAGTGATGATTGAGCCGACCCCCTTTTAGATCACCTCAAGAAACAACTTGAGACAGAAGGGCCGAAAACCCCTTTGTACAGATCGCAAAAAGTAAAGGGGAAAGCAAGTCACCTTGCCGCAGACCACGAGAAGGAATGAAAAACCCATAAGAATTCCCATTCAGTAGAACAAAAATAGTCGTTGGGGAGAGGCAGTTACTTAGATACCCAATCCAGCGATGGTGAAAACCGAGTTTTTCCATAACCCGAAAAAGATAAGGCCATTCAATACGATCATAGACTTTTTCCATATCCAGCTTGAGGGCCATGAAACGCTCACGACCCGAACGCTTATTCCGAAGGTAAGTCATGACCTCTTGACTGATGAGGACATTGTCAATAATGGAGCGGTCCTTCACGAAACCATTATGATAAGAGGAAATGATATGCGGCAAGAGATGTCCAAGACGATTGGTCAAAAGTTTGGAAATAATCTTATAAAACACCTGACAAAGACCTATCGAACGGAGGTGAGCACAACTTTGAACATTTTGAACCTTGGGAATAAGAGTGATCCACGTATGATTGAAAGATTTCAACATATGGCCATTACGAAAAAAGGAATGTACCGCCAAAATGACCGATGGGCCCACGATGTCCCATAAATGCTGGAAGAAAAGACCCGTAAACCCATCAGACCCTGGAGCACGAGTTGGCCCAATGTGAAACAGAGCTTGATGAATTTCTCGGGAGGAAAAAGGAGTGAGCAACCGATCGTTTATCGAAGAATCCACCACATGTTGTAAATTCAAATTATTCACTGCCTGTTCAACATCCGCCCGAGCAATCACGGAGGTAAATAAAGATGTGTAATGAGTCACAACAACCTAATCCTTAGCATGTTCCTCCGAATGGACATGCCCGGAGGGATCAGCCAAATTAGGAACGTAGTTGCGAGCTCGGCGAGTCTGCGTAACACGGTGAAATTAGGCAGTGTTGCGATCACCCTTGCGTAACCAAGTGGTACGGGAACATTGACACCAATACGCTTCTTCTTGCTCCCAGGCACGAGATAGCTGACGCTCGAGATCTCGAATGACGTCCCAATTCGGCAACGGGATAGCCTTCTGGGCATGAAGTGCAGAATTGAGATCACGAATTCACCGAAGGGAATTAGAAGAGACGCCCAAGACCCATTGAAAAAGAGCATGACGGACACGCTTCAGCCTAGTATGTAAGCAGTACATCGGTGGCCCTTGAACAACCAAGTTCCAGTAGTATGTGATGATGAGACGGACTTCCGAGTTATGTATCCAGCGGGCATCAAAGCGAAATAATCATTTAGAGCTACGAGATCGTCGAGCAGGTGACCAAAGGATCATACGATGATCAGATCCGATGTCAGTTAAATGATGGATGGTGAAATCCGGAAAAAGGTTCAACACTCCAGGCGAGAACCAAAACCATCCTAAATGAGTTTCAATTAAAGCTGCGCCAGCACTGTGATTGGAGCGAGTGTATGGGTGCCCATGGAACCCAATATCAATAACACCCAAATCATCAATAAAATCTGAAAAAAATTCCAGAAGCTTGTGGGTCCACAGAAGCACCACCTCTTTTTTCATCATTGTTCAATATCACATTAAAATCGCCAAATAACATATATGGGAGGTCTATAGAACTGAGATAGTCTTGTAAATCCACCAATTGAGTTGTCGAATGACATCATTACAAGATAAATACACACCAACTAATAAGATACCTTTATTTGGAACAATATCCCAACGGAAAGCAATTACATTAGGTGATTGGCAAACAATAGTACCACACATAGTATCGTCCCACATAAACACTAACCCACCCGACGAAGTCACTGAGGGCGGAACAACACACGATTTTGTGAACCCCAGACGCGTAATAATAAACTCACATCGGGTTTCACTTATTTTAACTTCACTTAAAAACAAAAACTTAGTAGAATAACGACGGATAGTAGAGGAGAGTTCTCGGAAAGTCAAGGTACCTCCCAAACCTTGACAATTCCAACTCAGTAAAGTCACTTGGCGATTGGTGACCATTTAGGACTGGTCACCCCCACCACACCATCTTGTGAGTCAACTGGCAGTAGCTCTTCAGTCACGGAAACAGCATGCACGGGCGCCGAATCATCATCAGCAGGCAGCGCCTCTTTCTCCTGGGCAGGCAGCGGTACCGGATCGGCAAGCACATCAACCGGGCCAAAAAGTGCGGCTCACAATTCCTCCGACAGAGTTGGGTTGGAAGGCTTCATGGGCGAGTCCGCTAGAAGCTCTTCCACTTGCAATGGGCCGAAAGCCTCATTCAGAGAGGAGCATGCCTCCTCAATTGCAGCATCGAAATCAAGGGATCGACCTGCCTTCTTGTCAATCCTGGGGAGAGGTCCAGTAGGGGAGTCGTCGTTGTCCAGGACAAAAGCCGGGCATTTGCGATCAACCAAGAGATCTTCGTCCGAGAGCTCGATGGGGAAGCCGCGAGCAGATTTCAATGGCGGAGACGGAGGATACTCAATAAGCGGCTGTTTACCTCTGCCTGTGGGCGTGACTGGTTCAGCCTTAATCCCAAGTGGTGGCGAGGAGGAGCCAACAGAACTTGGCGATGGTGGAATCAAGGGAATCGGCGGAGAAACCGGAGCGGGGGCCGCATTCGCCGGAAGGGCAAGCACCGGTGGGGGCAGGATAAGGAGCCGGATTGAACCGAAGATCGGCCATACTCGTCTCCAGGGGAGGAACAGCATCCTCAGCCCGCTAGAGGGCAACACGGAACAGATTGATGGATATATATATATATATATATATATATATATATATGGTTAATACCCTAGTTTGGCCCGAAGTTCAGCGTACGTGACAGTTATGGCCCCGTTTTTCAAATATGACATTTGTGGCCTACTTTTGAAATTATTGGACAAATTTGGCCCAAAACTTGTGTTGACTGTTAATATTAACTGTCAAACATGTATTCCGTCAATAACTCAGCATCTAGTGGTGAGGTGGCAGTGATGTGGCTTCAAAGTCATTTTTATTTGAATTACTTTTTTTTCATATAATTTTTCTAGTTCTTAAAAACTTGAAAAATAAAAAAATAAATTGAAAAAACAAACTCATTCTCAACCGCAATAAAAATCACAATCCTAATCTTCTTTTGCCGTCGGCACCGACGACGACCACCACCACTCCCACTCCTCTTCCTCCCGACCATCCTTCTACTTGGAACTCGTTGTCATCTTTAACCGCCAACCCATTCTCATCACCGACCACAAATCCAAGGGTGATTGGAGGGTGGATTTAGCGTTTCCTCCAGATCGGTCCGAGGGAGAAGACGAATAGCCACCAGTTCGTTCGTCTAAAGAAAAGACGAACAGAACCCAAATCGGGCACGAATCCTACTTCAAGGCATCGTTGTTGGGGTCGAAGTCGAGCCCTTATGCAACAATAGCATCCTTATACTTGGTCAAGCCGAGATGAGCGGTGCCGAGGCGAGAGTAGCCCTTGGACTAGTCGGGCTTGAGCTCGACGGTCTTCTTGGCGTCGTTCAAGGCGTCGGCGTACTTCTGGAAGGAGGCGTATGCCGCCGATCGGTTGGAATAGAGTACATGGTTGGTGGGAGTGAGGGTGGTGGCGTCAGAGAAGTGCTTGATGATAGTGGTGTAAATTGTAATCGCCGGCGAAGAACCCGGCATTGTCCTTTGCTTTAACTTCGTCCGCCATCGTAGATTGCAAATTCGATTGATTGAAAGGATGAGAGAAAAGGGTTTTGCAGAATTGAACTAGGATTAACAAATACGATGTAGAAAGAAGGGTAATTATAAGAGGAGAGGAAGACGAGAAGGTTCTGGCAATGGTGGTGAAGGAAAATGAGTGAGGGTTGGAGAAAAGAAAGGGCGTTCTCAAAGAAGAAGATAAGAAGGTAGAGTTTTTTTAGGATTTCATTTATTTAAAGTTGTTTTTTATTTTAATTAATAAGTGATGTGGATGCCATCTCAGCACTAGATGCTGAGTCATTGACGGAATAAATGTTTAACCGTTAATATTAACATTCAACACAAATTTTAGACCAAATTTGTCAAATAATTTCAAAAGTAAGCCATAAAACGTCTTATTTGAAATATGAGGCCAAAACTATCACTCAAGCGAACCTGGGTCAAACGTATTAACCCATAAATATCAAACTGCGAGTGATGCTTGTAACAAAAAATGCTCGGATGGGCGGCAAAATAAAGCAACTTAAGCAAATAGAAAAGGTAAAAAAGCAAAATGATGAACGGGAACCGCTGACCGACACGCTACACTCCGGACACCGCCACGTGTGAGCTCAGGATCCCCCACCTTAAAACCCCCGCCATTTTGCCTCATTTTCAAAACGCGAGAATTCATTTCTCTTCTCTACCATTTCCTTGCAATTTCTATCCTCTCGCTCTCCGCTTGCTACATAAAACCCTAGAAAGAAACCAAAACATAAAGAAAACCAAGAAAATTCCAATCCTCCCAAAGCTCTCTCCCTCTGTCTTTCTCTGCTTCCTTCCATTTCTACCATGCACCTATACTCCTACACCGTCGATTCCCTCTCCAAATCCCAAGACCTAGCCGCCGCCATCCTCGCCTCCTCCACTCCCTCCCAGATTTCCGCCGCCTGCTCCTCCCTCGACTCCTTCCTCCGCTCCCACTCCCCCGACCAGTCCCGCCACTTCTTCTCCCTCGCCTTCCCCGCCCTCATCTGCAAGCTCTACGGCTTCGACGACGCCTCCGCCTCCGCCTCTCCCTCTCCTTCCCCCGGCGGCGGCGGCTGGATCGACGCCATCCTCCATTCCAACGACGCCGATCTCGCCGCCAGGGTCTTCGACCTCCTTTCCCCCGACGGAGTGCTGTTCCACTTGATCTCCGCGGTCGATCGTCAGTCCCTCGTCAAATACGTGTTCCCCACCGAGCGGTTGCCGGAGTGGGCTCGGCTCCTTCTCTCTGCGGGCAAGGATTGTCAGGGATTGAACGCCTTGTGTCCTGTTTTCCAAGGTAAAGTGAGGGAAGGAGGATCGGGTAAGGGTTCTTCCTCTTCTTCGTCGTCGTATCAAATTCAGCTCAATGTTTTCGAGTATTTCTTGTATTGGTTCGCTTACTACCCGATCTGCAAAGCCAACAGCGAGAATTCGAGTGGTGCTACGATCGGGGCGGTGAAGAGTAAGGCGGTGTTGAAATTGGAAAACTGGGCTTCTTCGATCCCCAGGCTGTCGCATGCTAAGCGTGGGAATGAGCTGAGATTGGAGTGTGATCTTTACGTCAGGCTTCTGTATGCTTATTTGCGTGCGTTTGTGCCTGTTCAGGTTCCGGGTACTCACCAGCCTTATCGTAGCTCGCTTTTGCATTATGGGTATGGAAATGATGGCTCTGCTACGATGAGAGCTGAGTTTTTTGTTGATGCTTTGGTGCATTATTGGCTAGTTGATAATGATTTCTCGCCGCTACCGGTTAATCTTTGTAAGTCTGTGGGATTATCGTTTTCACTGAGGTCTGTACTGGGTGAGACTCCACCATCGTCTAGTTTGGGTGAGGTAGTCAAGTTGTTGGTTAAATACTTGAACTGGAGTGCCAATGTGTCCCAAGAAGGTGTTGAACGAGTTGCAAATACAAATGGGGGAAGGTTTTCTCCAAGTTCCTTTGATATGAAATCAGGAGAGTTGGTTGCTTCTGTATACAAGTCTTCAGAGTTGGCTGGCTCATGGAACTCGTGCATTCAAAGACCGTTGTATCGATTCATTCTGAGAACTTTCCTTTTCTGTCCAATGGGAACTTCGATAAAGAATGCATATCAGGTGTTCTCTCTTTGGGTTGCTTACATTGAACCATGGAAGACCACGATGGATGATTTTCTGGAGCTCGATGCAATTGTTGGTTGTTCTGGGAAAGATGGTAATAAGGAAGTTGGACAGAACAAACAATGTGGCTATCTATCGTCATGGGAAGGCTATGTCTTGTCCAATTACTTGTACTACAGCTCATTGGTTATGCATTTTATTGGATTCGCACACAAGTTTCTTCACACTGATCCTGTAGTGATTGTGGAGATGGTGTTAAAGGTTCGTAATTGCCTCTTGGCTCTTTCCATGTGTGTTTTAGTTACTTCTTCCAGTATTTTAGTTCTGTTTCTGGGCACCACTTTTTGTTGGAGCTTTAATCTGTTTGCTCTCGACTTCTACAGTCTAATGGGCTCGTTGTTTACACTTTACAGGTTATAACAGTATTGACATCAAACAAAGAGTTGATAAATCTGGTAAAGAATGTGGATAAAGTCTTTCATGCCAAACAAGCTGGATCTGGCAAAGCCATGCTCAGTAGTTTATACAAATATGTACCCTTAATCAGAGAACAGCTGCAGGTATGAACCACTTGGATTTTCTCTTGCCATGTTTCCTGCCATTGTTTTTCCTACTGTAGTGTGGCTGCTATCTAATTTGCTGCAAATTCTTAAAGTGGTTGTAATTGACGATCAAAGGCATTGGTTTCCTTACTTTTGGCTTCTTGTAAATAATGCTTGTTGATGTAGTTTGTCTCAATTGTTTGCATATCGTGCAATTATCCTAGTGTTGCCTCAGCCTTCACTTTCTGATGTTTGCATCTTCTCTTCCATCTTCTCGTGGCGCTAGGATTGGGAGGATGGTTTGTGCGAGAGTGATGCTGATGGATCTTACTTGCATGAGAACTGGAACAGAGATCTGATGCTTTTTAGTGATGTAGAAGATGGAGGACAACAATTGTTACAGGTTCTTATGCATTCTTCTATTATTATGCAGTCTTTTGTTTGCAATGGCTGGTTCGTTGTACAAGACTTTATTCAGTTATTATGGTTTGTTGCTGCAGTTGTTTATACTACGTGCGGAATCCGAGTTGCAAGCCAACTCTGGCGTCAACTATTCACAAAATCTGGAGCTTATAGACTCACTGAAGGAGCAAGTGAGCTGCTTATTTGGTTGCTATGCCGCGAGATCAATTTCTTTTACACCAGAGAAGAAACAACCGGCAGACCAGATGCGAGATGAGATATTCACCCCCAGAAAAGCTGGAAACTACACCTTTGCTGATGTCAAGTACAAGGGTGACTGGATGAAGCGTCCAGTATCTGCTGATGAGGTTGCATGGCTTGCAAATTGGTTTGTGTGCTTGTCCTGTTGGCTGAATGAGACCCTTGGGTTGGATCGAGCTGAAAATGGCGATGCGAGCTCAAAGTGGTCTTATGTTGAGGTTTCCAGCAATGCAGCAAATATTGATGGACCTACAGAAACCATGAATACTGTGTTGCGCGCTATCTGCTCATGGCTCCTAATGCTTGTTGCTACGGTTGTTGGGTTTATGAGGAAGCATGGCGTTCGTGTGAATCTTAGGCCACTAGCATCGAAGAAAGTTGTTACAGTTTTGCTTCTGTCTGCTCTTTTTAGTGTCGTGAAGAAGGGTGTTAGAATGTTTCTGGGAGCATAGCCTTTTGCGAAGAATCGAAATCGGGAGAAACAGAAGAAATGAAAAGGTAAAAAACTGCCACTGTAGGAATATGTGAATCTTTACTCAGTTTGCTCAAAAAAGAAAAGATATGGGGAAAAGTCTACACAGGAAACAGTTTGAAAGAAAAGCCGCTGTGTGAGGTTTGCCGCTTTGAGGGCTTGTTCGCCTTGCTTTTGTAACTAAGGTCTAAGGGTAGGGATCTTGTGCAGCTCTTGAGGTTTTCTCCTTTCTTTTGTTTACAGTAAGCTTCTTACCTGAATCATGTACAACACAACACCTCTTGTAATTTTGGTCTGAATGTGAATATATTTTTCACACGAGCTTTACATGGATCCACCATTACAGAATAGATGAACTGAAATTGATTCTGGATAATATTTGCTTTCATTTGAAGGATCGTTTTGAATTGATTGCTGTCAAAACATGTACACCATAGCTGTGTACATCTAGAGGTCGCGTGCTCTGAACTGAAACATCAACTTCGTACCTGCTTCCTATCTGACCGTTATCGAATTTCCAGCGACTCGGCCATAACATCTAGTTATTGCCTTCTGGGACCCCTAGAATGATTGGGTAGTAATCACACTTCTCGCCTTTGGTTTGGTTTGAGTCATCATACCCATTCACAATACAGAGGTTCAGCCCGCAAAGAGCTCGTGGCCTGGAACTACACTCCTGAAAATGTGGAAATGACCCTTCCTTTTGGTGATGGAACCAGTTCGGTATGAGGTGTTTGCCTCCTGTACAGGTAACAGAAACAAGAAAGGAAGAACAACATGAAATGGCTGACATCGATGGATCACCTGGATACTAGATGTCTTCATCGTTCCTGGTGTGAGCATATTAATCAGTGTAACTTCAATGTCTCCAACAGATTCCAAATGGTATAGCTCGTATCAGTTGATCAGCTCAATAGCATCTTCTACAGCAGGCTCCAGCTTGAACAGTCCCTGGATCTCGACGAGCTCATTGCAATCGATAATGCTGAAAACAAGGAATAGAAGTTTGGAAGATTTGTGATCCTCAGTAACTAGTTGCACTGGAACACATTCAGCTTCTTCAAACTCCCCAGGAACTCCGGAAGCCATTGCAGGATGTTAGATCCAGATAAGTACAGGCTCTCGAGAACTGAGAGATTCATGAAGATCTTGGGAAGCTGACTAATTGTGGTTTTGCCTGAGGTTCAGTGCTTTCCAATGGGGTAGGCATTTGAGATCTCTAGGAATTATATTGTCAAAAATGTTGCAGTCGCTGAGGCTGTAGTCCGAAGCTCACCGATGAATATGGCAAAATAGAGCTGTTAATTTGCTTCTTATGTGATCGATTCACTGCAACTCCATTCATGTGAAGCGACTCAGATTGGGGAGGTTGCCTTATACAAGGAGGTCCATAGCTGAATTGCACATTCTTGATAAGCTCTCATTACCGGGAAGGCTAAGAAACAAGGTATTGATTGTATTCGTTTCCAAATTGTCATATGTGGTAGAATATAGGGCATTATATCAACTGTCATACGAGGTCCAAAGTACAAGCAAATACTGTCTGATTTTCACATGAACATGAAGACCCTATCCGGATTTATTGTCACAAAACATATCGAGAATGACTTCCATGTGACTCGAGATAGAGTGAAGTCTGAGTTAATTGCATTTCATTATGTGCCTACTGAGAAGAATTGGCTGATATATTCACAAAGGGCTTAAGTGCACACCTGTTTCACAACATCCTCTTCAAGCTGAGAGTGCATGACATACACTTGCCTGCTTGCGGGGGCTTTCAAATATCCTTCTCAAGGACACAGTAAGAGATGAATCAGAGCAACAGCAGCAGGCACTTTGTTAGAAACCAATTTCACTAGGGTTTCTTCATTTATTATTATAATTACTAATAGGGTAGTTCTTATTATGGTTAGTAGTCTTTTAGTATAATTAGGTTTATTATTAGGTTTTCCTATCTTTTCCTATAAATATGTAACCTAGGTTTCATTATCAATCAAGCAAGAACAATTATTCAGAAAGTATCTCTCCCAAAACCCTAATCCTCTATCTCCTAATTTCTCGTTCTCTAGCCCTCTAAAGCTTCGGCCGATTCTATCTTCTATTCTTCTTCTTCCTCTAATTCCCAATCCCAATCTCTATTTCTATCTTCTAAATCCCTAATTCCCAATTCTGTTCTTCCCCAATTCTTCTCCAAATCCCTAATTCTACTTTCCCAAATCCCTAAATTCTCAAACATCATCCAATCAATAACCCGTTAGAAACTTTGTTTCTAACATTTGGTATCAGAGCCTGGTTACGAGAGTGAGTTCTTCACAACTCTAAACCAGGGACGACTGCATCTTAATCCATAATCACAATGAGTTCGTCAAAGCTCTTTGATCAAGAGTGGTTTCGACTGCAGGAGCTGCAGCATCAAGCCCTTGACAGACGTTATCGGGAGGTGCGTAGGAGGTGTGCGACATTGACAGAGGAGGCTGCGACCGACGGACGCGTGTGGCCATTAGCAGGGCAGTTCGTGCGAACCATAGAATCGCATCGACAAGCCAAACCAACACCATCAATCACCACGGTAACGTCTGCAACGCCATCATCGATTCATCGCCAAACCAACAACATTGATGCCACCAAACTGTCTTCACCACCGCCCAAGGCTGCATCCAGATCTGTTCGAATTCCACAGACCCCGCGAATCGATGGCTGGAAGTTTAGAAAGAAAGAATCGGTAGAAGACTCGCAGCCGAAGACGAAGGTGATGGTCCGCAGGGTGGTTTCGCCTGCATCCCCAATCGCGCAAATAAAACAACAATCTGACAAGACGTTGTCGCCGAGAAAAGAATTGGAGTCCGTGCTGGGCGATCAAAAAAGGGAATTATCAGGAAAAATTATTGTTACGGTGGATCGGGTCAAAGGGTTGGTGAGGGCGACGTCGACCAAGGAGGGGAAGGAGCAGAATTGCCAAGGCTCTTCACCGGTGTCGCGAGTCGCGCAGAGGGCGTCTCAGCCGGTGGCAACTCCAGTCGGAGCAGCAGCGGAGAAGAAGTTGGTGATCGCCGGCTCGAGTTCACACCCCAATCACCGGGTGGAATCCTCGCCGCCGCAGGAAGAAGAAGCGACGGGTCCAACCGAGGCGACGATCGCTGAGAAAACGGAAGACCGCAGCCACGATCGTCAACCCAAAGCAGGTGCAAAGCAGGTTCGCTGGACTTCCCCACCGGCGGCGCGAAGAACGTCGCGTTCGACGGCGGCGGCTGGTGTGTCGTCGACCAGGAAGGAGGAGGATGGCTCGACGTCGAGGGAGTTGCAAACGGCGACCGGCGAGGAGAAGGAGCTGAAGACGGCTGCGCTTTCGAACGGGTCACCGCGCATTCGGATGGGTCGCTCATCACCAACGAATGGTTCGCTGAGGGAGGAAAAGAAGAGTGGGGCTGGCGGAATCCTCTGCTCGTCGGAGAGGGCGCCAGAGAAGAAGGCGATCACGACGGCGCTGGGCTCGCCGCCCATCCTCTCGGTGGGTCGCGTCGGGCACGAGGAAGAGGCGAGGAAGCAAAGCGGCGGTGGCGGGGGGTTCCTTCCTCTCCCAAACCCTAAATGGGCCGCGTTGAAAGGTGCCGCACAGCAGCAACAATTGAGGCATGATTCTCCGGGCTATGCCATTCGGGCCATGGGTCCGAATATTTGGGTCGCATGCCCAAATGAGGTCAGGGAATCGGGCCAACTCGTGGAGGAAACGCTGAAACTGATCAGGTTCGTTGGGGGTGATCATTCGAACTGGGCCGAGACAACATTAGCATCTGGACAATACTTAGGGATAAAGCAGGCCCAGGAAGAACTAAAAAGACAAGCCAAACCAAGGCCTGGTCATGGACATAACATAGGCAGCTCTCACAGGCTTCAGGAGGAAGTTGGGCCGAGTATTGACAGAGAAGTTGGGTCTCTCAAGGGCTGCCCTTTGAAGTGGATGGGCTGGGAGCAGTGTGCTGTTTTGACAGGTGAGATTTTAATAGAATATGACTCAATATGGGTTGGAGGAACGTTAAAGCAAAGTCATGGACTAGCTCCAAGAAAAATATTCGAGGGCATTGATGAGTTGGTACTCAAGGATAAGTTCTTGTACAAGAAAGTATCCTTGAAACCCTTGAGTGGCGAGAGTGGGGAGCCAACAGAAGAGGAATTGTTGGAGTTTGAATTTGTCAGGGAAGCGATTATTGGGCCCACAGAATTGAAATTCGCAGAGCCAATTCAGAACAGGGAGATCGGTGCAAGAAGCCCAAAACCGGAGTTAGAGCGTGATTGGAAGAAAAGGAAGCGCACAACACGGAGCAAGCGATGCATTGATCACACAAGGAGGTTGGAGGAGTGGGTCAAGTCAATCAACCTTGAGGGCAAGGTTGGTCTGAAGGGGGAGGAGATGTTAGAAACCAATTTCACTAGGGTTTCTTCATTTATTATTATAATTACTAATAGGGTAGTTCTTATTATGGTTAGTAGTCTTTTAGTATAATTAGGTTTATTATTATGTTTTCCTATCTTTTCCTATAAATATGTAACCTAGGTTTCATTATCAATCAAGCAAGAACAATTATTCAGAAAGTATCTCTCCCAAAACCCTAATCCTCTATCTCCTAATTTCTCGTTCTCTAGCCCTCTAAAGCTTCGGCCGATTCTATCTTCTATTCTTCTTCTTCCTCTAATTCCCAATCCCAATCTCTATTTCTATCTTCTAAATCCCTAATTCCCAATTCTGTTCTTCCCCAATTCTTCTCCAAATCCCTAATTCTACTTTCCCAAATCCCTAAATTCTCAAACATCATCCAATCAATAACCCGTTAGAAACTTTGTTTCTAACACACTTGCAGAAGTGAGAAGAGATAGAGTGAAGCTTGCTGCTGAAGAAGATGAACTAGACATAAATAAACCCGGTTAGAACCTGTTATAAGCAGAGGAAAACGGTGTCGTTGTAATCAATTCGTTATACGCAGAGATGGGAATTTTATGTGTAGATGTTATTGGTTAGCATGTATTTTGTCCTGTAACTTAGCTGTTAGAGATATGTTCTGTACAGAGGAGCTGGACTACTCCCTTTTGTTCTTTGCTTTGATCTTAATACACAGAAAATGAACGTTTAGCCATTGCTATTATCACCAAATACTATCTCCAGAGATATGTTCTGTACAGAGGAGCTGGACTACTTCCTATTGTTCTTTTGCTTTGAGCTCAATACACAGAAAATGAACGTTTAGCCATTGCTATTATCACCAAATACTATCTCCGTTCAATTCTTGTTAAGACCCAAGACTACAGAGATAGATCTTGCAAAACATAAGTGTAGTAAAACATTTAACAGAGACTTACAGAATAGTTGCTGTATTAACAACTGAGTGGATGCAAGCAAAGGCCAGAAGCTTTTGGTAACGCGGAAAAGCAGCCATTTCTTGTTCTTTCAGACACACAGATGTGCCAATCCGACCTACTTCTCTTATATCCAACAAGACAATTGAACCCATCTGCAGGTAAGTAGCAGCTGTCATCCATACTGGCTTTGCCCATCAGAAATCTACTCATACATGGGGAACCCACCCCAGCTGGTGCACATGTAAAACTAAGACCTTTCCAGCCTCTTCGATACTAGCATCCATAAACTCTTTTGTGGTCTTTATGTGAAAGAGCAAAACTGATCGGCGATCACCAACGATTCTGCTTAGGAAGAAAGAAGACTCCCTTTTTCACTTTCCTGATCAGGCTGACAAACAGAAGTAGATCCATCTCCATATCCTTGTAATTCACATTGCAAAAACTGACTACAGATTTCCAAAGGCACGTGTCGGTGGGAGTGGTCACATTAACCTAAGTTGCAAGTTCACAGCTTGAATAAAAAAGGTTGACCTCAGCTGGGAGCCATCATCACCCTTCGAATGAGGAGAATGCTATGGCTGCTCAGATGGCACAGGGTTGAAACCAGTGCTAAAACCAACTCAGCCCTTGTGGGATTCTCAACTCTGTTCCCGACAATAGATTTGAGCTTCGCTATGTTGCAAGCACAAAAGGGAAACCGCTTACAAGAATTTCTGACATTCGGAGGCTCAAACTGGTAGGTTGATGGGTGGGTACATAGTAGCTAAAGTGAATTCCAGATGAGGATGATCAGGCTGCTTGATGTCGTACCTCAGAATTGGCAGCTGCGGCAACCCAGTAGTCGATGAAAGAACCGAATCTGGACATGTCCAGGATCGAGTTACACACACAAATGCCTAGTGCCATCGCTCTACACTCACAGTGAGCAATCTAAACAAACAAGAGACAGCTCAAACTCGTGCTTTTGTAAAACAGATCATCTGGGAACAAGAGCTTCCCACTCCCAGCCTCGTCTCGACATCCTGCATCTTGATGGTTTCATACTGCAGACAGCTCTGAGTTCATCGCGCTTGTATCATTACAGTGACCTATTAGTGGTCTGGAGTTCCAGTAGATGGTCTAACCATCTCTCCGGAGAACGACCTCAAGTTTTCCTGGAATCAGCACCATTTCTATTGGTTAGCTAGCTCAAATAGTTAAGATTATGCTTAAGGGCCGAAACAAATGGAGTTCACCCCTTTTGTAGCAATTTAGTCCAGCCTCTCATTCCGAGTAGAATTCCCAACATTGCCCATTTCCTAAAACTCCAAGCAAAGATTTCCGTGCACTGATTTTGATTGCAAACCGTAGAGAGCCTAACCCCCTAAGTGCTAAAACATGTATAGCCAAGTTTGAATAAGCAGCCCACAATCTGTACGAAAGAGAACAAAACGGACGAAACAAAAAAGACAGCATAGCAGCAAAACGTACTTATTCAGGATCGCGGCCGTCTCGCCGTCTATTTCAACTCTCTGACGATCATTCTCGCCGCCATTTTTTCTTTCTCAGGGTCGTTCTCGTCAAGTTCTCTATTAACCGTTCTCCCACGAATCCCCCACCGCCGTCGTCGCATTCACGACAGACATACAGTCGATATCATCGTTCTGTTCGTCCGCCGCGGCCATTGCAGCAGGAGGAGTAGCTCCAGACTGCGTCGTTCTCTGCCGATCGCCGGGATTCCCCAACGCCGTCGCGGCGATCCGACAAGTAAACCCGATTTCCCAAACTCGATGTCCATGTCCAAGTGTGATGTTTACCGTTTGAAATTGCTAGCGCGAACACGTCGAGAATAATGCGGTAACCAATCAGAATACGCCAAGTCATTCAATTTGCCGCGTGTAACCCAGCCGTAGAATCATACAACAAAAGCTTTTGACACGTGGATACGAAATTTCCTTTTTTACCCTTAAAATTGCTGACGAGGCACTGAAGCAAAACTCTGTTTAGTGTTGTCTTTTACATTATAGCCCCTGGACAACTTGTCAGGTGGTCAGATAAAAATCTCGGTTAGTGCTAGTCACAGTCTGACCCAAACCGATCAATTTCTATGAAACTGGAGTGGTCTAAAAGGTCAGTGGTCTGCTGTATGCTCAATTTTTTAGTTTCACAAATCCATCATATATCCAATTCAATTAATGGGTACAGTAATTTGACTATCTTATACTTTGGGATATCAATAATCTAATTGAGCTATATTTTAATAAAACTTACGGAATATGATCTAATTCGTCTAATTGATACGCGAAATATAGAGCATATTACAACTTCTCCTTATTGATCCTACAATATATAGAATTGTTTGAAAGTTGATGCTTTATTTGTATCTTAAAATTAGATCATACAACATTCAATTACCTCGCAAATTGCAATCATGTAGATTTCTCTTGAATTCCGTCACTGTTCCTGATTAAATGTATTAGTCAGGACAGTAATTTACAACTTACGAGTAACCTCTAAGCTAATTAATTGTGACTTATGGTCCGACTCAACCTACTCTTACGACGAGGTTATTATGGGTATTGCAGCCAACCAAAAGAAAAATTGTATAAACAAAAAGGAATCGGAGCTTCTCCTGGCAAATATCGTTTTCTTTCTTCCAAATTCATTTACATGAAAAAACAATATATGGATCGTCGATCTGCTTAAAATTGGAGCAAAACAATCCACTGCGAATTCAGAAAGATTCCTGTTAGGGTTTTTCTGATCCGTCCTCCTCACCAGTGCTTCAATCCCCACTCTCTCGACATGGCTGCGCCCTTCTTCTCTACTCCGTTTCAGCCTTATGTCTATCAGGTACCTCTCTTGTTTTCTACTAGCAATCGCCTCTTTGGGTGACTTCAATATGCATTCTAGCTCTCGGAATTCAGGACATGGAAGAATTATATGTAGATTTTCTGTTTGTTTCAGTTGTGTAGTAGTATCTTGAATTGTACAGATTTTTCTTCCTTTCCTCCTGCCCAATTTGATTCTGGTGGTTTTGAATTTGACCTCTCTGCCATTGGCAGAAGGCTGTTGCTTGCTCGATTTGATGAGCTTAGGTCGATAGAACTTGGGTTTCTGCTTTGATTTTTCAAATGTGGTTGTACTTGCATTTAGTTGAGCATAAAGCTTTGGGAGAGGGAGTTCATCTAAAAAACGGCTCAGAGAGAGGGAGAGTTGAGTTAAGAATGTACGGAGAGGGAAAACACAATTCTCTGCTGTTTTATGGCATTTTCAGTGACGAGAACTTATGGCTTTCGGATGTGGTTTAGTGTTATCGGAAGAAGGTAGGAAGAGGGATGAAAATACCCATTGCCATTAGGTTTGTGGTTTAGCATTATGTGTGTAAGACTAGGGTTTTGAAGTTTATCGTTTGTGTTGCCTGATCTCATAGTGGATAATATGCTTGCAGAGTCAACAAGCTGCTATGATTCCTTTCCAGATTATGGGTGGTGAAGCACAGGTGGTTCAGGTATGCATGCATTTTTCAAGCTGTCTGGCAATTGGCTCTCTATCTCTCTTTTTTGCTCATCTAATTTCTTTCTGTTATCCCTTGATTGTCAGATAATGTTGAAACCGCAAGAAATGGTTGTTATGCGACCAGGTCAGCATAGTAATTTTAATTGTTGTATTCATGAGCACTCTTTCGTATCAATGAAGTTATCAATCATTCCATGGATGTCCTTCAGACCATTCCATCCTTAAACTCACATGAAAGCATAGTTGTTAAGTTATGCATAACTGTTCTGGCTTGGTTGTTCCTTTAGAGTTTTGGATTATTCCGAGATTTTGAGTGGTCAAGCATTCATGTTATTGTGTGACATCAGCTTGTAGTTTTACTTCCATAGGAGTGGTTGTAACTTGTAACTGAATGTTTGTAAAGTCTCCTAGTTTGGTTCTTGATACCTGCATAAATGAGTTTTGCAGGTGCCATGTGTTTCATGTCCGGGTCCATTGAAATGGTGAACATTTTTATGCCTGAAAATGAAGTAGGAATGTGGCATTGGCTTTTTGGCAAGACTATTACCAGTGTAGTCATTCGTAATACTGGTTCAAGCGATGGATTTGTTGGGATTGCTGCACCTTTACTGGCGAGAATTCTCCCGGTGTGTATGCTTGACTTTAGGAGTTTCGAAGAAGAATTACATTGGCTTTTGTGAAATATGAGCTAGTAATGAGCTGTATATATTTTTGTCTTTATTTTGTAGATTGATTTGGCTATGTTCGGTGGAGAAATTTTGTGCCAGGTAAAACTACGAAACTTTATTTGCAGTCCCTGTAACATATTACTTACTGCTACATGTGGTGTTCTCCTTTTCTCAATCAGCCACTTTAGTTGCTTGCCTTTGTATTTTGAAGCATACAGGATGATCTTAATTTTTCCCATGGTGGTTCCTTGATTTTCGCTTACAGCTACAAATTTATGTCTCTTTTCACTTGTTGTGTAGCCAGATGCATTCCTTTGCTCCATCAATGATGTTAATGTGAATGTTGCGGTTGATCCAAGGGCGCGTAATGTGATGGGTAGTGCAGAGGTAAGATATTTTATCTTGTAATTTTGTGAAATAAACTTCAGCCTATCTTATTCATGTATTTTGAAGTGGATAAGATGTATTGGCCTGTGACAGGGATTTCTGAGACAAAAACTAACTGGGCAAGGGCTTGCATTCATTGTTGCTGGTGGATCTGGTATGCTTCAACATCTGAAACAGTGTGTGATAAGAAAACTACATTGGAGTTTCCTTACTAACGAGTAGCTAATAACATCTTTTTTGATTATGTGTCCTTAGTTGTACAGAAGAAGCTTGATGTTGGAGAGGTACTAACTGTGGATGTTTCTTGTATCGCCGCCGTTAATTCCACTGTCAATGTTCAAATAAAGTATAACGGTCCTCTCAGAAGGGCTGTCTTTGGCGTAAGTGTCCTCCTCTCTCTGTCTCTCTGTTCTTTAAATGCTTCTGTCACAAATCTTAGTGGTGTGTTTGGAAACGCAGGGAGACAATATGGTAACAGCTACCCTAACGGGACCAGGGATCGTGTTCATCCAGAGTTTGCCCTTTCAACGTTTTTCCCAGCGCATTGCAAGGTAAATATCTTATTACTTGACTGTCATGGTAGTATCAAGGCGCATAATGATGTTCTGGTTTGTTTCTTCTCTCTTTTTCTGATGCTCCAGGGCAGTGACATCTCCAAACATGAGAGAGAACCCCAAGTTCTTTGTTCAGATAGCTATCTTCTTTATCCTGGCATATGTTGTGATTGTATCCTCCTTGATCTTGACTGATGTATGATATGATAGCCTTTGTTCCCCCTTTTTCATATTCGTTCTCTTTCAAATTAACCATTCCTCTTCGGGGAAAACACTGAACAGCATAGTTAGAGTGCATCAAATCATAGTGCCATTGCCATTACGGTTGCCAGTTTTAACAGAAATTGATAGATATAATCATTATGGTTTTGCGTTCGATTTCATTCGTTCGAGTTGGTTCGTCGCAGTGCAGGTAATCGATGTAAAATATGATATATGGATTTGGATAGGTCATGTAATATGATGTATACATTTAGTTTGAAGTGGATTTGGTCGTTGCTGCATGTGGATGTTCCCTTATCAGGATTGCCTTTTCCCTGTTTATGAATCAGCCATATTCGTGGAAGAGATGACTTCATTTGGGGGTATAGTAAGAACACCATACAAACGAAGCAGATCAGGCCAAACGTCTTTGGTGTAGTGAAACTAACAATTTCTACCTCTCATTTTCATATAGGTCTTCAAATCATTGTATGCCTCCAAAACCTAAATGCTTTGGCTGGCTACGATGTCCCAACTCGTACCTCTATCATTTATTGTCGGTTCAATTCATGTTCGCTTAGGAGAAACAAATGTGCTTACCACTTAAATGGTCATCAAAAGGCCTTGTATTTAATAGAACCGAGGACATCATTGATTGTGGTCAGTGACGGAGTCACGTTTGAGTACAGGTAAGGTAACCCCTTCAAGTCTCAGATGTAGGTAAATTGACAAGTAAATTTTGTATTATTTTTTTTGAAAATAGACTACGTAGTAAGGCTCTACTGCGCTTCCCAATTAACAGGGTTGTCTTGTCGAATGCAAGAATTGACATGTATTTGTAGATGACCCGTGCCCTTCTCTTACGATCGGGTGTTCTTGCAGGATTAAGTGTGGAGGTGGCACATACTTAGTATATCTCATTAATCGACAGGTCACGCTTCTTTATAATGGAATCTTTTCATTTCACAAACTCTATTCCAAATAACCCAACTATTCTTGGCTATGAGTGTTTGGTTGCTTGTGCTTCATTCCTTTTTAAAAGAAAGAACGCCATAAGTTAGTTCCCAAGCCAAGCGTAGGAGTATGTCTATTATGATCCGGTTAATCATCGAGTTCGTGTGATGTATCATGTCCTTTTTATGGAGAACTGCGTGCAGCTGAGCCCCAGGAAAGCTTTCGTAACTTCCTCAATTTCGTTGCTCCATTTTTTATTTGATGTCGCTACTCACGGACGTTCTTCTTCCCAAGGCCACACGACCGAGCCTTCTGATGAGGAAGAAAACAATGATCATCATGAACTACCACAAATGACTACATAGATGCCCCTCTATTCCTCCTCTTTGTCGCTCACAAAGAGCTACCAAAGGTCAATATGGTTTTACAATTTTTTATTTTTTTTAACATAAGGCTTGGGTTGAAAGACGTGTCAAGCCTGACAGAGCCACGGCCTGACAGAGCCACGGTTGAACTACGACTTTAACATAAATATATTCTAATGCTAACTTTTCTCATACGACTTTCGATATAGTTTTACGATTTTTGAGTTTTTTTTTGAAGATACATCGAAACTCGAGTTGGAGTAACGTGTTGATGAGCTAGGGAAATATATAATTCTCCTCATGAGAAGCCACTAAATCACCACGTGTTAATGAATATATGGTAGGTTAGTGGGGAAAATAACATTAGGACATTTTAGCCAACCCCATATGCAACAGTAACAATGGAACGCCATCACAACTACTTCGGATATGCTACTCATAATTCCATCTTCGTGCCCCCCACTTACCACCAGGCTAAGGGTCATCCTGAATAGGACGGAGCAATGAATGAGGAGCCGCCCTCAAAGCTAATGAAACTTCAGACATGGTAGCAAAGGAACCAGATATGCCTGTCGTGGGTTTTCGACTTGTCGGGTCTTTACCATCAAGATGAAGCCAGATGGGACAATGGATCGAAATAAGACTCGTGTTGTGCCACAAAGGTTCAATCAAATTCAAGAGTATGATATTGACTATGATGAGACATTTGCTCTAGTTGCAATAATGCAAACTGTCCGATGTGTTCTTATCGTTGCTGCAATGTGTAATTGGCCTCTTGTTCAGTAGCCATCAAGAATGCATTCCTTCATGGTGATAAGGAAAATTGTTTATATGGTCCCTCCTGAAGGTTACACCAAATGTGGTTCTGGCATGGTGTGTTAACCTCGCCGTTCACTATATGGGCTCAAGCAAGCTCCTAGAGCGTGGTTTGAGAAGTTCTATAGTACAATCCTTCAAGCTGGTTTCTCTCAATGTCAAAATGACCCATCTTTGTTTTTAGAGCTAATTACACTAGAAAGTCCAAACTATCCAAAAAGTGTCATTTGTGTCAAACTATTCAATATGACAAATCTGAAACAAACTATATGCATTTTGGGACATTTGTGTCATAAACTATTCAATATGACAAATCTGGCACAAAGCACATAGAAGCTGACTAGATTTTCTATTCAATACTATCGATCAACGGCGGTCAACATTAACGCAAAATAGTTATTTTTAATACTAACAATCAACGCCGGTCATCACAAACCAAATAGTTTGGTCCATAAAACAACATTTCTTCCCATCCAATTTTCTCTCCCTTCCCAATTTTTCTCTCTTCCTTCGAGAACATCGTCAAATTCAAAGGGACAGCAAGTCAACAATCAACATAAACACATAATCATCATTCGTCAATCGACTAAAGTGCCCAATGATAATGTCTAAATTCAACACAAGTTCAAAGTCCAAACTTAAAAATTAAAATAGACAACCAAATAAGTTAATAACCAATAGCTCATGCTCCTCCTTCTCCAGTAGAACTTGTAGCACCACCAACATTTGCACTACCTTTCTTATTCAAAGTCCTAAGAAGAGTATCATCATCATCTTGGTTCATGTCGTCGTCGGACTCGGTGGATTCTTCATCATCACCCTCCTCCTCCTCCTCCTCCTCCTCCTCCTCATCAACCCCAACAACAGATCCATGTGCTCCACTTGGGATGCCACTTGCAGTTTCCACTCGAGATTGGAAAGTATTAGTAACTAGTGCAAATAAAATACACAAATGTTAGTATGTTACTAATGGAATGGTTTAAAATTTAAATAGTAAATAGTATAGACAAATTAGAATAATAAATTGAATTCTTACCACTCTCATAATCGATTGTCTCTTGATCTTCTTCCTTATCATTCAGTTCATCTGCAGTCTTTCCACTTTCATATCTTATCCAATCTTCAACACAAATCGATGCCTCTACAATGTTTGGGCTTAAAGAAGACCTGAAAGGACTAAGAACTCGACCTCCACAACTGAAAGCAGACTCTGATGCAACAGAGGAGACTGGAACTGCTAATATATCCCTAATCATCTCTGAAAGAATGGGATATCTAACACTGTTCCGAGCCCACCACTTTAGAATGTCAAACTTCTGATCATCAATCTCCTCATTAATAGCATCACCAACATCTCTCAAATACTGATCCAACTCACCACAACCTCGACCCCCCCCCCCCTCTCAATTTGCTCATTTCTCTTCTGTAGGAACCGAGCTTCAAATGCTCCTCCAATAGCAACAGATCCATCACTAGTCTCAATAGGAGTAGTAGTCTGGGTAGTAGGCACATAAACAGAGGGTGGAGTTGCATACTTCATCTTGTAGACATCGTACAATGCAATCATCTACGTCTTTACTTCATCTGCCAAAGCTCCTCCTTTTGAGATCCCATACATTTCCTCCAACATAATAGTCAAATAGTCTAGCTTACGCCTGGGATCCAGCACACAAGCCATGTAAACTATCCTATTTATCCTAAGGTTATCCTCCTCGTCATCAACATCATTCTCAAACCAATACTTTCTCACCTTTGCCTCTATTCTCAATGCCATTCTTTGTATCTGTCCATCTGCATATTTCTTCAATGTTGCTATCACTTCATGAATATCCACAATGGCTTTGTAGAAAGTATGTGCAGTGACATATGATGTTCCTGATATAAAGTAAAATTTACCGACATTAGTATAAATAATATAACTCATAATCATTCAATTTAATTTTAAAATTTGATAGTTATTAGTTCATATACCTGATACACGAAGAGTAGGCTCATAAAAGAACTTCAGGTACTTCATGAGCCGCTTAATACTGCTCCAATCATCTTCAGTTGGAAGACCCTTCTTGGAATCCACATACTCTCGAAAGGAAGAATTAGTAGGACTAGCATACATGAACTTAAAAACATGCTCAAACCTCTCCGCAGAATCCAACATCAGATAGGTGGAATTCCACCTAGTCAGAACATCCGAAGACAATAGTCTTTTCCTATCCATATCTAGATAGCTGATGCCTTTCTTGAACTTCGCACTCTGAGCTGGGGATGACTTCACCCATTTCACACAATCCCTAACCCTCTCCACAGCAAATCCAACCTCCTTCAATCCATCAGAAACAACCAGATTGATGATATGTGCCACACATCTATACTGCAAATACTTCCCATCTAGCAAATCTGTTCCCCACCTCTTCATTTTTGTTCTCATGCACTCAACAAGAACATCATTGGAACTGGCATTATCCATTGTCATGCAAAACAAACTCTTCACTTTCCATTCTTGTAGACACTTCTCCAAAGTATCTGCAATATCCTTCCCCGTGTGACTAGTAATGGGAGCAAAGCAAATAATCCTCTTCTGCAACTTCCAATCATCTCCAATAAAATGTGCAGTCACACACATAAAATTGAGTTTTTTTCCAGAAATAGCACCTTTAAATTTTTTTTTTACAAAACTAGCACCCTGCCAAAAATATTTACAAAACTAGCACCCTTTTTTATGGACCGCACCCTTGTGGTGCGTTTTACATATGAACCGCATCCTCCAGGTGCGTTTTATTCATAAACCGCACCTGCAGGGTGCGTTCCATATTCGTGGGACTAAAACGCATTTTGGTCATGCGTTTTCACGTCTGGCCTACACAAAACGCATGGTCGAGGTGCGGTTCAGGCCTGACCTAGGCAAACCGCACCTTAGAGATGCGGTTTGTTCCTCCAAAACCAAATCACATCTCTAAGGTGCGGTTTAGCCACACAGACCGCACCCCCCAAGTGCGGTTTGTGTGTCAATAATTTTCCGACACCCGACAGACCCATGCAGAGAATTATGGACGTAGGGCTGCATGGCAGACTAAAATCGCACCTTAGAGGAGCGGTTTTCCTCATTTTTTTCCCTATATAAGACTGCCCGGAAAACCTCTACTCTTCACACCTCTCCTTCTCTCTTTTCATTTTTCTGTTGTATCTCTATATTTCTTTAGTGTTTTTGCCATTAACATTAACTCGTAAGTTTATTTTGTGTTACTTTTTATTGTTATTTGGGATTTGTGATTTTTATGATATTAACTGAACTACGGTTTTTTTGTGTGCAGATGGCATTCCGTCAGTTCACGTTTGGCTTACGGTGGAATGGTTACACGGAAGAGACCGGAAAGGGGGCCACCTACGTCGGTGGCAATTTTCAGAAAATAAAGGTCGGTACCAGACCGAAGCTTGAAGACCTCCATCAAATATGCACTAACGTTA